GTGTCGGTTGCACGATCATCGGCACTCTTTGTTCGTAGACCACCTAACCAAGCAGGCGTGTAGATCCAAAGGCAGCAAAATTTGAAATCAGTGATTTCACATTCTGTCGCCAGATAGATGTTTGACCACCGCGCGATCTCTTACAGCCGGGTCCTGCACGAGAAAACAGCACAATAGGGCTAACATACATAGGACGTGATCGAGCCATCTTAACTGGCTGGCGCAGTAAAACCAGCTTGTTGAAGTAAATGGTCGCACTCCCCAGGATACGACGTCTGACTTCACTGCTGCAGGTACCTTGTTGCCAGCACACACGAGCAATTCTCCTAAAGCATCGGTTATCGAAGGCTGAGAGCCAGCACGTACTGACCATGACTCTCTTCCACATAGCATCACCGCTCGTACGGTGGCATTGTAAACACGACCCCTTACCAAGAGGGAGACATCCGAACGACGCCACAAGTGTTGCAGGTTGACAAACGTAGACCGGCCTTTGGTGATGTGAGGAAAAATTTCCTTGCTGATGGAGACACCAGCAGACACGCAGGTGCCCAGGTTTACAAAGTTGTCATCATGTTCAAGCTCCGTGCTTTCAAGAGTGATCACTGGAACGGATGAGTGCCAATCCTGGAGATGCACTTTGTATTTCGACGGGGCGAAGCACATTCCGTACTTAGACGCCTTTCTTGCCAAACGGTCCAGAGTGATTTGCATACTGTGCGAGTCGTCGCCAAGTAGTGCGAGGTCATCGGCATAATGTAAGTTGATTGCTCGCTTTCTCACTAGTTGTTACAGACCTAAATGTTATTAACCCTTCAGAACTCTGGACAGAACGTTATTAATCGCAAAATTGAAGAGGAACGTGGACGTAGGGCATTCCTGTCGTACACTGCTATTGATAGTGAGGGAAAAAGAGAGCTTGTCATAGACCCTCACTCTACCGGAGATATAGTGGTAAAGTGCATACAGTATGGTAGTGTGCCTTTCTGAGACCCCGTTCCTTAGCAAGCAACGTCATAGCGCAGGTTGATCAACCGAGTGGAATGCGGCACGGATGTCTAAGAATGCAACTATGGTAGACCTCCGACCCGTAGCCTAGAGGTACCGAGTTTGTCTCGTAATCTTGCGGCGCGGGTTCGAATCCGCGTAGGGGTGGCCGTTATCGCGGTCTACTCAGCCCGCGTGCGACTGCTGGTGGTCACACGGCAGCGAAGCTCCGTTGCGGCGTACAGCGGACACATTATTATTATTATTATTATTATTATTATTAGACCTCCGGTATAGTTGGCCATGTTCGAGGATTTGGCGGAGCTTGAAGATTTAATTCACACATCCCCCATGGTCAGGTCGGAACCTAGCTTGTTCTTCCCGGTACTGTTGTTCACGAATCGGGGATAGCCTACGAAGTAGAATGGATACCAATAGCTTGAATGCAACCGAAATGGGACTGATCCCCCGGTGATTAGCACATAAACTGCAAGCACCATTCTTAAAAATCGGGACAATAACTGACTCGCCCCAGGAAAAAGGTACCTTTTCTTTACGCCAGATTTTAGAGAACAATGAGGTTAACTGACGTGATAATTGTGCCACCATATTTGAATAGCTCCGGAGGAAATCCGTGTAAGCCGGCGGCGTTGAATCGTTTCGAATGCCGTAGCGCCAGACAAACTTCTGCTTCACCGAGTAGATCAACTGTAGCGCTCCAATGCGGACATGTGGGTTCACAGTTTATACAAGTGGGCTGTGAGGACCGACTTAACTGGGAATGGGAATGTTTGGCCAATCGATTCAAGCGTCTCTGCAGGTTGTTAATCGGAGAACCGTCAGCTTTGCAAACGGTCTCACAAACATCGGGTTTTCTGTGTCCAGTGAAACGAATGAGCTGGAAGAGCTTGCGAGTATTGCCAGACAGGTCAACGGCCTCCATTTCTGAAGCACGCTGAGACCACCAGGCTTCACGATTACTGCGTAGGCTATGTTTGAGCTGCCGACTGATAGAACGGCGCACTCCATTATGATTAGATTCCGCATGAATGATTTTTCGTTGGTTAAATATGTCTGGTAGCTCCTGTAGATGCAGGCCTTCATAGAGTGCTGAGTAAGACCACAGATTAACTACCCGGAAGAGATCATGGTGCTCCGCATAAACGTTCCGTGTTCATCAATCTCTTGTGGTGGATCGCGGCTGAGTACATAAGCAAGGAAGCTTGATAGCTTTGCTGAACCCGGGGGTTAAACAGTTTATTTGTATTTACCTTGCAGTGTTTCTTTTTCGCAATAACGCTGCATCTTACCGTAATGCGACGGTTTGCGTGCCTCAGAGATCCATTGAACTATGCTGGGTGGTGTTTTTTTTGCACCTTCAAAGCCACTCATACCAGATCGGTCAATGGTTAGAGGCCAGACAAACTCATCCTCCTGGTCCTCCAGCTTGGGAGTTGGAATGGGAGTGGCTCCTTATTCCATAAAACGGGCTCTCTGTAGTCCAGTACAAAAACCCCACTGTCTTGCTGTAAGGTTTTTGAACCAAAGCCTTTGGTTGAGAACCCTAATCGTTCTCCTGTCTAGGCCTGGGCAACCTGACAGTATTCTGCCCACGTAATACACTGAGTCTTTCCTTTAACAATTTCTTGATGCTCTGGCCATCGCAGATGATAATAAACGGCGCCTTATCTGCTGCACAAAGCATGGTGGATAGGTTTTGGACGCGACTGCTCAGGCAGGAAGAGCGAGTGAACCACTCAGCACCATTATATCACGCACTAGGCTCCGATGGCTGTGCCACTTGTTGCGCATGCCAGCACACCGACTTCCGCGACGTGCATTGTTTGCGCGTTGTGGGTGTGGTTGGAAGAGGAGGAGGGGAGGCCAAGCGATGACTTGGTCGAGGGAAATGAAAACTCTCACATCGAAGTTGGCGTCGGTTTGTGCATCCTTACTGCCTGGCTGGGGTCCTAAGAACGATTAACACGTTTGGTTGGACACCCTTGTTGATATGGCTAGGAGCCGGCCCCATTGTCGTTTGTGTTGTGCGTATCTTTGTCCTTCCCCCTCCTGATGTCCATCCGTTACTGGGGACTCATCCGGCGTGCCACTGTATTTTTTCTTCTTTTTTTGTCCTTTGTATTGGGGGGCAATAGCTGAGGTGTTTTCCACCTGTAGCCAAGGTGTATGATGATGATGATGCTTCTTTTTCGAGGGACCGTCCAAAACTCCTGCAAACGTTTACACAAACAAGAGCATAGTCTGCGTCGAGGAATGTAGACCAGGGCTCTGCAATTTTTTACCCTACGCTGTCATCTGTAACCGATTGCGGTATGATCAATCTGATACCATGGTTGAGATGCGGAAGGGTCGCCAAATACTTGAACTTCTGCTCGAATGCGTGAAGCTAGTGCTCAAGAGAAACAGACCATTATTTTCACGCAGTGTAAGATGTCTTTATCCATTTTCTGAGCTTCTTTCATCTAACGCATGACGAACACCGACCAACTCTCGCATTGAGATCTCTACAAGGACAACAGTGTCGGACTTGCAAACTGTGCCCATTAGCTGTTGAAGCACACGATAGTTTTCGTTGTTGACCGAGTCACACTGTAATCAGTTGGAGTGTAAATTGAGATCACAAACAAGTTGCATCTCTCTTCACAATATCTGTGGATCCTGCACGATTCCCGAAACCGAACTACACACAATCGGCTGTCGATCGGAAACCAATCCAACAGTGCAGCCTCGGTTTTGCTACATAGTGCTTCACTTGCACCACTCAAGCCTGATGCGGCTGTTTCTCTGTCACCACGTAAACATAGGTGAAATATGGCTGCGACAAGCAGGTGACTTTTGAATTGGCCTCGTCGATTGCTTCCCGTGACTGCCAGTTAATTCGAGATCTCTGATAGACTTAGGCGGTCCATGAGTTGGGTCCGCTCCGATGGTTGTGGTTGTTTTCTTACTGGTTTGTTTGGCTACGCGCTACAGTTTTTAACTAGTTTGAATTTTCTCCATCTGCGTGCTTGGTAAACAGGATCGATGTCGATACGCATGTTTCTCGAAAGCTACGTAGAGTACCGTGCTTCGGGTAATTCCCTTCCTTTTCGTGTGTCTCTTTGTGTTAGGACTCCTCTTTCATTCCAATCGATGCAATCTCCTACGTCCGTATACGATGAAACCAGGGAGAGTGCAGAGTGGTAGTTTTATGTTTTCTATCCCTGTTAACAATGCTCTTCTTGTCGGATCCACACATTTCTTATCCTAATCCCGATACTGTCTTGTGCACTATATATATATATATATATATATATATATATATATATATATATATATATCAAACGGCAGAATACTTGTGTGATTGTGAACCGGATTCAATTTAACCGCTTTATCGCCTCAGGTTTTTCATTTGGTATCTATGCTGTGACGCAATGCGCCTCTGTAGACGCGGTTGTTCTGCGCTCGCGAGCATTCCAACTGATATGTAAGTCTAATTGGAGCGACCACCTACCCTGTAGTAGTAGCATTTTCACATTGGCGTTTCGCTTTCAACGTCAGTTTCTTGATAGGTCTCGTAAACTTTTTATCTGGAGGCGGACCAACTTTTATCACACTCACTCGTCTCAACGGCTGCCTTGTCTTTATGCTTCTCTGGAAATTATGCAGACTATTAATTTGACTATCATTGTTTTCTCTGCCTCTGGTGAGGCGTGTATTTTTCGACTGGTCGCCTTGCTCCTCATATATTCTAAGTCTGATTTCACTGAGACTCTCTGTTCTCAGACACAGTGTTGCCACTATGCTTTGTGACCATTTTGTTCAGTGGTTCCGCATCATTTTCTTTGTTTCGGCGGTGCACACTGTTATGCGTGCATTACATCGCCGTTAAGACGCTCGACTAGCCAACAAATCAGCATTTTAGAACACTATTTCATTCTACTTCTTCTCACTCTTCCGTTTGATGTTTTACACCGGTGAACGCTGATCTATCGTTTTTATTCTTTGTGCAGATTCCGCATAATCCCCAGACCAGCGGAAACTGTTCTTCCTTATTGAAGGGCCTACTCAGACCTGATCCGAGTGATCGACTGAACCACCAGGAATTTTTCGATCATCCATTCGTGGACTTGAAACATGCACCTACCGCTGAAAGTTTGAGCCACGCAGTGCGTCCAGTATCTTTGAATCACATCCGGTTTTCACGTCCACACCAATAATAATCCAACAAGTGTTTGTTTGCTGATTGCGTACGAATCTGCACCGTCTGCCCTGTGGCTAGTTTTCGCACTTTTTTCCGCCTCTCTTTTGCTTATGAACTGTCAATATTATGTTGTATAGTTTGACGATTCACTTGTTCATTTGTTTTCTGAGCTTTGCGGTTTTGTTACAAACATTTCACCACCATGCCAGGTGGCATCCTCAGTGCAGTGAGATGCGGAGTGCAACAAAACCGCCAAGCTCGGAGAACAAATGAACAATTGAATCATCAACCCGAGCTACCAGTATTCCGAAACATTTTAAATACTTTGACAAGTTTACATCCCCAACAAGGGGCTGACGCATCATGCTAACGGCTTGCTAAATGTTACCTCTATCCTTTGGTGAGCATCATCCCGCAACGCTTACACATGCCTTGCTTGCCTGACGATATTCTCCCACGTGCAACTGTTAGTACTCTCATACCTCGGCACGCACCAATCCTAGCCCCGATATCCCACATGCACTACGTGCCTACGTGATTCGGGTTCGACGATGTACGTTGCTTGCTTTTCGTCTCACCAACAACAGTCAGCCCGAATTTGGACTGTCTGATACCAGATGACACCATAATTCCCCGATGCACATTTGTCCCGGTACATCCCGTATTATTATTGGTTCGCTTACTTCTTTGCTGTTGCCCAATTCGAGCTGAAACTCTTCATTCTCATTTTGGTATTACTACTTTGCAGTCGGTTCTGCCGCTTTATTGTTCGGGTTCATTCCACGCTCCGAATTGCATGCATCGAGTAATTTGATTGTGTGATCGTTTTCAGCTCTCCTACCTTGAACTGGCTCACGAATGCGAACAGGCTGGTCAGTTGTCCGCTGCCTATGAAAAATATACCCGCGGCTTAGCCCATCTAGTCTCAGCCATCGAATGTAAGTCGATTACGTGGCAGTGTCTTTTTTAGCCCAAACCATAGCTTACATGAAAATATCTCGTGATTACACGATATCTTGTTGCATGGTCCCATTACAGATGAGCCATCACCCAAACAAAGAGAAGAGCTTAAGCAGATGGTGAGCATTTCCTTATGAGGTTGCTATAAGCTTTATCCGATGAATTATTCGCCTTCACTTTCATTCGAAACTGAATTTATCCACTTCGTCCGGCGTCCTTGTATTTGATTACTGCGAAAGTTATACCGCTATTATTCCTCGTTTCTTTTATTGCTTACTGAAAGCTAAATCGGCCGTTGACGAGTATTCGGATTTTCCTTTTTGCATCGTGCTCTTTGATGCTTCTAGCTCCCTAACACCTCTTCTGTGAACTCGGAACCATTGGGAAATTATGTGGGACCTATAGCCACTGTCATGACACGTAACCGTTGTTTGTTCTACATGCTCATTCCGTTTCGACAGAACTGGGCCTTACCTAATGACATACTTCGATGCGCCTCTGGTTTGTCGCGCTTTATTGATTGTTTCTTTTAAGCTGCATGAGAGACACTTCTTGCTGATTGGCCAGAGGTTACACACACTCTGTTTGTCTTCCAGGTCGAGAGTCGGAACTCAGAATGTATTTTCATCACTTTAAAGTCAGAATTTTGAGCCTAAAATTTTGCTTAGGGACTGTGATCGTTCTATTACTTTGGCAGGCAGTGACAGTTACACCGAACTCTAGCCCATCCTGCATCTGCACTTGTGGTTTTTTTGAATGGACAATCTTTGCTGCTGCATACAGCACAACTGATACCGACGAGTCTATTCTTCTACTTCCATTCACTTTGATATTCCTCCCAATCCACATTCTCACTCTGCTTTGCGTAGCTCCCGGCGTATACGACAGCAGTTGTACTAATATCGTGGTTTGTCCTTTGCGTCATTGTTATCACAGTATTCACTAATCTCATGTTATCAAACCCTATCATCAAGCCTCGCTGCCCATTTTCGTTCACAACACAAAAATTCGTATCCTAAAACAGATAAATCAACAGGACACACACTAGATACCCTTGATGCTGAAGCTTACCGTGTTCTCGAAATCCGGATTAATGATTTCCTCCATGGCTAGGCCACGTGTTTCGCATGTTAGCCCACCAAATCCCGCAACGTGCGTTGTTTGCGCGCCGCGGATGCAGATGGAAGAAGCGGAAAGTGGACAAGCGATGACTTGGTCAAGAGAAATGAAGTTAGTCTGGTTGGAGACCGAATGACGATGAGCACGTTTGGCTGGGGGCACTTGTTGACATGGTTAGGAGCCGACCTTAATGGCTTTGTGTTGTGAGTTTCTTTGCACCTCCTCCTCTAACCACGATCTCAGTTATTAGACATAATATGACTTCTCTGCGTCACAATAGTCGGCTGTTAGCTCTCCGGAACCATGTCCATTCGTTACTGGTGACTCAGCAGGCGTGCCTCAGTTTCACTTTTTTGTATTGCGGCACAATAGCTGAGGTGTGTTCCACCTGCGGCTAATAGGTGTAATGATGATGATTCATGATTCCCACACGATCGTCAAGCGAAACGCATAGATTGGCGGATCTCATCACGGCCATACTCTATCACACAACCACCAACTGTCGGAAAAGCACTAGACGACTGCCTCGTCCATCTGCAGTGTATATCGCATCTATTCCATAAGGGGTTTAAAAAGCCTCACTCAACCTCCTGCGATTTGCTGAGTCATAGGGGATAGTCGTCAAAAACGACTCGTGAGGCTCGTCGAACTCAGCGCATGAGTTTCGAAGGATAAGTCATTATCCTCTTCTCTATGAAGTAGATGTTGAGATTGGGTCCACTTAGCTTCTCCAAGTGTCACCGAGTATATATCATTGGGCCGCGGACGTGCACCAACTGTCTCACCATGCCAAGGTTCAGTTCCCTCTCATTGATCCAAGATGCACGACAGGCCCCTAGGTTTTACTGCGCTATCGATCTTTAGTCGATCTGATGCTGAATATTTGATAGGTCAATAGTCCTCCTTCTAGCGTGGCGGGGCTTTTAAACCTTCCATCATCTTTTCACAGAACATCATTTTTGCGCAATCTACTGTGGATATAACAGCTTTTTAAGAATATTTTGACGCCTTTCGTCAAACTATTTCCAAGGTCACTGATACCATCTTACTCCCTCGATCCTTTGCACCCAATGGTCGAGATACTACGCACTACCCGCAATTTGTTACTTTTGGCCACGGAAATGTGGATTAATTAATAACATGTAGGATGACATGTTTTATCAGAACTTTGCTCTGTCAACTGAATAAAATCCTGAGAACTCTGTTCGACAATGTGCGATCGTTGCTCTGAAATGCGCGGCCGTTTACTCGGATAACAACCGTGCACATTTTCCATTTTTGTTTATCCGTTTGTTAAATGTTGCATTTTCGATGTTGTCATCTTAGTTTATCTGAAGTGTAAAATGCTGAAAATACATCGGTCATCAGGACTTATCTTGATTTGCAGTCACTTGGATTCAGAGGTAAATTTCTCACTGAGACCGTACACCATGCTACCAAATTGGTTATGTGGTCCGATCCTAATCAGGGTCTACAAGCTGGTATGCGATTGTGATCTCAGAGGGCTGAGAAAATGGAATTGACAGGTAACTTCCTCTTGTTCTCCCAACATTTACGCACTTACGTTCCTAAGCGATCATGCTTCAATTAGTTAATCAGATAGGACACTTTCAGACAATTTACGATAGGAAACACTATCTAGATCATTGGGCGAAACGCTTTTGAAGGCCGTTCAGTTTGTCGTCTACTTTTGTATCCCTCTGCGCTCATGTGGCGCAAACTGTTCCACGGCCAATTACTCTTTAAGCTTGAACTAAACAAGATTTCAAATGCCTTCATAGCCCTCAATCGTCTCCTCATTGATGGCTCGGATTCTCCCGGGCCCTCTAGTTAGCAATGGTTGTTAGGCCCTCTCCAACCGATTGACCTGTTCGTTTCTACAGACAGGAGAACTTGTCGAACCACCTCGTGTTGCCAGTCGGGTGGTCCGCTTTACTCCGCTTCAAGCAATTAGTTCGCTAGTAGTGTTTTAGCATGGGGTGGATTTTCACCTCGATACTGGATGTGACTCGCCACTAACTTAAGTCACTGATCCTAGCTTCGCCTCGCCGATGCATTATCGTGCAAAGGATAACGCGGCGTGTTTTGTGCTTCCGTTTAGCAACTCACCGAACTAACGGCCTGTAAGCTGAATACTGACTGACCGGGTCCCCAATGAGTGCGGTCACCTGGCTTCACGCTGCTGCCTTGCAGGTAGGCTGTTCAGTCAAGCTGGGGATGGTGTCCCCTAAGTCAACTCCCTCCTACTTGGGCAACCATGTAGTACCACGCCAGCTGAAGAAAAACATAGGTTGTTCTGCGTTGTGTTCGGTTTTCTTACGGTTAATATACCTTTTTTGATGGCTTTATATATATTCATAAACTGCTGAATATATATGTCTCATGCTGCGGTTGGTCTTACCTTTGTTGTGCTTCTTCACCACATTTGCATTAGAGTGACTTGTTTCGCAATACACTAGGTCTGACCGATTCAGTTTTACTCTATTTTCTCATTACTATTACTCATTCTCATATTCCCTGTTTACTTTGCGGTTTTTCATCATTTTCCTTGTTCGTTGGTTGACATCCACGGACTTACACTTTCAGTTGCCCAATATCGTAAATTGTATATGGCTCGACGATGCGAGAAGCCTTTCCCAGAAGGGACGGATCAAATAATGGTACAGCAGTTTCATATCATGGTATAATAAATTTAAAAAATGTGAGCACAAATGAAAATTTGTGTAGCGCGAAGCGGTCCAAAATATTTACATTCCTCTTGTTCTATCGTCTGACAAGTTTTTAGCAGTCACATGAGAGTTGATCGCACACGAAAACAAGAGAGAATAAAGTGCTGCGGGCCAACAAAATATAACCGCTTGTGCAATTGACCACATGCATTTTCAGGCACCATTAACTCCGTTCTCACAAGCGTTATCTAAGGACTGTGCTGTTCGAAACATTATTATCACATTTTGAACGGTTAAATGATCTTTTATCGAAAGCTTAAACAAACGCAATGTGCAACAAGTTCTGATGGCTCTTGGAAGTTTGTTCCAAAGCTTTGAGCAGTGTATTAAGAAGAAACGCTCCCTAATTCGCGTATTGAATTTTGGAATCATGACCGTTGTCTCCTTATTTCGTAGCTCGTATCTAGTGCTAACGGACATATGGACACAGTTAGCATAATTGTGCATGTGATGGTGAATTATTCTGTACAGGAAACACAAGTTCACCTTCATTATCCGTAGCCAAAGTGGTCAAGTCCAAGTTTTTCACTGCGCTCTCTGTAGGTCCTCTTGGAGGAATATCCGCACAGCTTCTTTGTAAAGCGTCGCTGTACCCTCTCAAGAGCATGCTGGTCAGATTTCCGTAGATTCGACTGTAGTAGTGAGCAGTATTTCATGCCAGGTAACACATATGTTTTGTAAAGCCAGATACGAGGTTCTGTGCGTTGAAATTTATGACAGATATAGCCAATAGTCTTTATGGCTTTCGAAACTTGGAAGTCACAATGTTCCGAAAAGTTGAAGGTAGTGGAATACCGCACACCCAAGTCGCGAATCACTTTGCACTGTGATATAAACGTGCCTTGTAATAATAGACTGCCTGGTGGAACTTCACATTTGTACGACAGAATATTACACTTGTCCACGGAAAAGGACATCTGCCATAGTTTGCACCAAGATTCAAGTGCCGATAGATCTTCCTGAATGTGGCGCAAGGCTGCGCGGGTATCTGCACGTTCTTGTGAGTAGATGATTTTAATGTCATCAGCAAACAGAAAAGTAGCACCATGTCTTATTCTATGAAATACATCGTTGACGTAGAGGAGAAAAAGAAGTGGACCAAGTACACTTCCCTGAATTATTCCACTGGTAACTGCTTTTGGTTTAGAGACACGGTCCCCAATACGCACCACCTGATTTCTGTCAGCTAGGTATGACGACAACCAAGAAAACATTGGTTCTCCGACACCTATTTCCTTCAGTTTGAGGAGTAGTCTTCGACGCAGCACTCT